CTATATATTACCCGGCTACGACCAGTAGCAGCGGAGCATCGATGAAAAATGTTGCAAAAACGGGTAAAAATATTCTATTTGTGAGATTCCGTTGCGTGCGCTGGGTAAACGGCTGTCTCTTTTAATTGCTTTGGCTTAGAAGTTTGATTTTTTCACAGCTCCAAGAGACAGTAGACATTAGATATGAATTTCAGTTTGATACCTCCACGCGGACGGACAACAAAGTGATCCTTTAAGGGTTCCGTTTTTTCCTTATGAGGTACGGAACCCTAAAAATTGTCCTTAAAATAATCTTTAAAGACGATTATGCCAAATTATTTCGGAGCAACAAGAGTCTACCAGATAGAAGGAACCCATATTTACTAACTAGTTTTGCTAATTAAATAAGCTGAGTGTAATGAGGAGTTGGTTTATTTAAATAACTACGCAATAATCGAAATTTATGTTGTATAATACAGAATAAGATTGATCAACCTAGCAGGCAAAGCTAGCAGGCAGCATCGCCAGTTTGACCAGTAGTTAGAAAAGGCGGCAGAAGGCATGTTAAGCATTCGTTACTGACCTATACATATGTTGATTTTGATCTACCTGTATTACCCGCTCTGCAATCGACGCTGGTATTGAGATGTTACAAACATATTAGTGATCAGTGTGACCGTTTTTGGTATTTTCGGTACTAAATTGGTATAATTTGGGCTCCGTAAAACTGATCTAGCTTTTTGTTGGTATAATTTCAAAATCTGGTATTTTTTAGTACAATTTTAAACTTAGAACAAGTTTTAGCATATTTTTCGCATTATTTTTTGGCAATTGGCAACACTGACTTCCGTTCGTTCACTTAAGTCTTCTACGCACTATCCATCTTGCTGGATCCAGCACGCGGGACAGCGCTATACACGTAAAAGAGATGGGGCTACAGGATCTCTAGATATGGAATTACATGAAATATACTTAGGTGTAAAAGTATCTAATGAAATAGCGCTGTTAAGAAGTCAATCAAATAATAGTAGTATCGAAATTAGAGATTTTTGCTAAGGTGTCAAAACTTTTTGATTGAGCTATGTAATCAACTTAAATGTAGATTTCACATTCATGAAAAAATATTTTCCGAGTTACGGTTCATAGATCCACAAGTAGCGGCTTATGAAAATTTTACATAGCTAATCAGCGTTATGAATAGGTTTTCAAACATCATAACAAATGATACCACAAAACAATTGATTGACGAGGAATATCGACAAATTAAATACAATTCCGAAGTACAAAACTTAATGTGTGGTTCCAGTAGTAGTACAAGGGCAGCTAGCTGTAAATGTAGAACAGTTTTGGGACAAACTGAGTCATTTTCTTGATAGTAGAAACGTCAAACGTCTAAATACAAAAATTTTACTAACTTTGTTAAATGTCTAATCTGCATACCCATTTCTAAAGCTGAATGCGAAAGATTTTTCAAAAGTAAATATTGTTAAAACAGACTATAGAAACAGATTTATATCTAAACATATTGCGAGCATTTTACATGTAAAACAAGGTCTAAATGAAAATTGTGTCTCATTTGACCCACCGAAAGACATGTTAAAAAAAACTCGTCCAATATTGACTATTTAGAATAATTCATATGTGTAAATATAATTTTATTGTTTAAAATGATAATAAATACAATTTGAACGTAAGTGTTTGTTTGTTTGTCCTTCTTTTACGATCCAGCGGGGAAAGTTAGTTTCAGTATATTTTTAGTATAATCCAGCATGAGCTTTGGTATTATTTAGTACTGGGAACATTATGATTTTAGTAGATCACCTTTTTTTAAAACGGTCACACTGTTAGTGATGCCTGGGCATCTCCAGCAGCATCTCCTGCTTTGGGTATCTTCGGTGATTTATCTGAGGCTTTTGATTGCGTTTTTCATGGAACATTAAGTGTCTCAATGATAGACGCGGCTTCGACTGCAAGCGGCGTCTGTCTATAATATAGACTTTAATCAGGAAACTGCGCCACCGTGGATTTAAAGGTAGCACTCTGAATCTCATTGTGTCATAGCGAAAGTATCCAGAAAGTTGACATCAAATGGCAAAAGATCTCCCGGATCGTTAGTAAAAATGGGTGTTCCTCAGGGCTCGATTTTAGGTCCTTTCTGGTTTTTAATTTACATAAATGGTTTACCTTACTTTGTAAGGGATAATCCCGAGATATTATTGTTTACAGATGATACATCACTTTTTTTGTAGAAAGCAACCACTTATTGACGATTTGAACAATGCCATCTCTAAAGTAATACACTGCCGAAAGCAGACACAATAGACCAGGGTCGATAATTTTAAAAATGGTGAAAAGTGAAAAAAAATTATAGTAGGATGAAACCCATTAGAAAAGGTAGAGAATATAACAAAAATGAAAGGAAAAATAAATTACGGGCGATCTGAGGTCGGGAAGGGGGAGGGGGTGAGTTTTCAAGGGTAAAAAATGGTTAATCTCGATTTCCGGTAAAACTGCAAGTCCTATGAAAAAGAGTTAAATGGCAAAGTTGTAGGTAATAAAAAGATCTACAACTTTTGTATCGACACTTTTTTCACATAACTTCAAAATTTATGTGAAAAATGCGAATAACCCAGTTTTTGGTTTTTGATTTTTATTTTCTGCAAAAAAAATATTTTTTCACGAAATTTGGTGAAAACTTACCTTTGTATGTCCCAAACCGTCAGTAATTTTTTTGATTTAAAATATTCATTTTTTCACCTTATTTTGACTTAATATCCAAAAAGCACCGTAATTTTCAATCGAAAATTCTCACGTCAAAATATCTGCTTTTTTAAAAAAGTTGGGGTGTTTTTTGTTTGTTGAAATCTCTACTTTCTGATGGTATAAAAAAAATATACACTACTATGATAAATGTTCTCAGAAAATGCAAATTAATAATGAAAAAAACTCGAATCCGAAAATCCTATTTTTAATACCTACTTACAACAACTATTTTTGCATGTTTTATGGATTTGTAATTTTTTTGTTTATCAATATAACATGGAATCTTACGTTTTTCGAGTAATTAAAGTGTAAATTTTAATAAATAGTTCAAAATTATACATAATGATTCAAATCAATTTTTCGGATTGGAGTTTTTTTCATTATTAATTTGCAGTTTCTGAGAACATTTACCATAGTAGTGTATATTTTTTTTATACCATCAGAAAGTAGAGATTTCTAACAAACAAAAAACACCCCAACTTTTTTAAAAAAGCAGATATTTTGACGTGAGAATTTTCGATTGAAAATAAGGGTGCTTTTTCGATATTAAGTCAAAATAAGGTGAAAAAATGAATATTTTAAATCAAAAAAATTACTGTATGTTTGGGACATATAAAGGTAAGTTTTCACCAAATTTCGTGAAAAAAATTTTTTTTTTGCAGAAAATAAATATCAAAAACCAAAAACTCGGTTATTCGCATTTTTCACATAAATTTTGAAGTTATGTGAAAAAAGTGTCGATACAAAAGTTGTAGATCTTTTTATTACCTACAACTTTGCCATTTAACTTTTTTTCATAGGACTTGCAGTTTTACCAGAAATCGAGATTAACAATTTTTTACCCTTAAAAACTCACCCCCTCCCCCTTCCCGACCTCAGATCGCCCGTAATTTATTTTTCCTTTCATTTTTGTTATATTCTCTACCTTTTCTAATGGGTTTCATCCTACTATAATTTTTTTTGGTCTCAAAAATTATCGACCCTGGTCTACAAACCAGTGCAACTATTGAAGACAAAAATTATGGACCTTGTGGACATTATAGCATTCTTAGGCATTTCACTAGATTCGAAGCTTCAGTGGGGCCCACATATTTGAGAAATTGTCGAAGAGCTTAGCTCTGCAGCCTACGCTGTAATGAAGATACGCCAATTAGGTAACTAACGTAAATACAACTCGATTAGTACCTACTTAAATTTAAGTTATTTTCTTAGTGTGATCTCGTATGGTATTTCGCTGTGTTTTTTTACTATTTTTGTGCTGCAAAAGCGAGCTGTCCAATAACAATCTAAAGACTGGGAAAATTTTAAATAAATCTATAAAACGACAGTTGCGTCTCCGTACATTTATGAAAATGTTATGTGTTTTCGAAAAAATATTAATTTATTTCCTATAAATAGTGATGAGCACACGCTTAATAGAAGACATAAAAATAAATTAGCTGTACTAATTAAATAGGCACCACAAAAGGTCTTTGTGTACGCTTCTATCTACAGTCAATAAATTCAAAGCTACTATTAAAAGATAAGGTGTCTGATTTATATTTTAGTCAAAAATGCTGTTCTGCTGTTCTTTAAATAGGATAAAGATCATATGATTTTGTATTTGACACCGTAACATATAACATTGTGTAAATATTGTTGCATAATATTAACGTTGTAAAGTTTTTGTCGCCAGTTTTTCTCCTCAAATAAAAATGGACGATTCAAAGACGTGTATTATGCTTTCAATTTGAATAAAGTTTTTTTGAGTTTGGCCCTATTTACTCAAGTATTAACAAAATACGTTTCTATGTGTCAATTTTAATGATGACATTCTGTGATAATGCGGTATAAAAATATTGTTTAATAACTGATGACTGCTCATGAATTGACTGAAATACTGATATGAATAGACCGTCAGACAGGAAAGTTAGCAACAAGCTTTATAAAATCCACTGTGGACCCAGATTCAAATTACTTGGATGAATAAAGCAAAATGTAGAGAAACAAATATTCAGCAGTAGCTCGATACTCTACTAATGGGATAATGGATATAGAGCTCTAAAATCAAGTTGACGATACTAATACTAGTGTGTAGGTAAGTGTAAATTAATTGCGTACCTTTTACTTCATTAAATTAAAGATAACTATCTATAGAAACTTGAACAATTATACACAATCATACATGAAACATGACGGCAGTAACCAATACTAGCAGTCGAGCAAGTACTTAATATTAAATAATTACCTAGCTACGGTTGAGGTAATCGTATACTTACTGTATTGAGTATTTACTGAGCACAATCTCATCTTTCTTATTTTCTTTCCTGGAGCTGTATAGCCACCAAACCGCAGCTCCCAATAAAACAATGAGCATGACTATATCGAAAGTGCTGAAAAGTGACGTTCCAGCGACCGCCGCGGCGGCATCCTGCACGACATCCTGTGCGCTTTCTGACATTTTGGAGTTCATCAATTTGCACAACTATTTGCTATACGTGATATCACTTAAATGCAAAGTACAAGGTTAATTATTATTAAATAATACACTACGCGAAAAGTTCGCGACACGTCCTATAAACGAGCGCCCTATTGCGAGCACAACACGAATCGCACTGGTTGGCCGTCTACGTCTCTGACAATTTGCTTACTTGTGTTTGTTTGATGACGGAATTTTGTAGCATGTTTCAATGTCTGAGTGAATACGAATACGAATGCTACTATCGTCATGCGCAGCCCGTCTCGGCGGCAGTGTTGCCAGTACCTGCGTCGTGTTTCGGACGATTCGAAATCTGAAAAGGGACGATTTTTAGTCAAAAAGGACGGCCTTACAGAAATATTAAACTAAAGGCTGAACTATATTTATTTTACGTGTTGTATTGTGGCGCAATCTGCTTCATACATTTAGTACGGTTAGCACTAAGAACTATACCTGTGTGTCGCGATGTTTCGACAGCGTTCTCACTTTAACCATAATTGTATGAAAGAGATAGCTCTCTGATGTGTTACAACACAACACGACAGGTAAGTGTAGTTCTATCATAATGCGGTTAAATGAAAAAAAAAGCGAGTGTGTTTAGGAACACACGACTGAAGTGAAATTTCTATAGCTCCAATGATCTGAAATTTGATAGAAAAAAACCACCAATCCGCGCTGGGTCCATTATCACACACCAATCCGCACTGGGTCCATTGCCACCGACTAATCCGCGATGTGTCCGTTATCACCCTCCAATCCGCACTGGGTCCATTATCACCAACTCATCCGCGCTGGGTCCATTATCACCCACCAACCCGCACTGGATCCGTTATCATCCACCAATCCGCACTGGGTCTGTTATTATACACCAATCCATACTGGGTCCGTTATCACCCACCAATCCGCGCTGGGTCCAGTGTCACCCACCAGTCCACACTGGGTCCGCTATCATCCACCAATCCGTGCTGGGTCCATTATCACCCACCAATCCGCACTGGGTCCATTGCCACCGACCAATCCGCGCTGTGTCCGTTATAACCCTCCAATCCGCACTTGATCCATTATCACCAACCCGTCCGCGCTGGGTCCATTATCACCCACCAACCCGCACTGGCTCCGTTATCATCCACCAATCCGCACTGGGTCCGCTATTATACACCAATCCACACTGGGTCCGTTATCACCCACCAATCTGCGCTGGGTCCGTTATCATCCATCAATCCACGCTGGGTCCGTTATCACCCACCAAGCCAAGCACTAGATTTATGTATTTTGTTACAGGTATTGTTCATTGTTTACCGATGCGTCACCGATGACACTAATCGTAACACGAAAAGGGAAGATGCATATATAATATATATGAAAATTTTATGATTAAAATGTTAAAAAAATATAAAAGAAATGCCACTGCAACGTTTTTATTTTACATAATGTTGTTTTTAACAATTATTACGAATTAAAAATACTTGAAACGGAACGTATTTTAAAACACCAATCAGCGTTTAGTGACGTCACTCCTGTTATGACAACTTCTTTGAGGTTATGGTTGTTAAAGTAAATATTATTTTATGGGAATATTTATTGCGTTTTTTTAACATTTAATAAAAACGGAAGTTGCGTTTATCAAAGCAGACTCCAGGAATTTACCAAGAGTTAGCGTTGACATGGTTATAACATTTTTTGTCCAAAGTGCAGTTTTTAAGTGTAGAAATGAAAGGGACTTAATTACTACGGTATGTAAAAATCGTAGTTGTTAAACTTCGTATTTTATTCAGTGGCTTCGACAAATCTTACGGCGATAATGCATTCGGCTATGTCCAAATTAAAAGAGATGGAAAATTATGTACAGTAAAAGGTCGAGTTCTCCGGAGCATAAAGTACGTAAAGAAGGTTATCGTGATACAGTTATTTTAATTGAAACGCAAAGCTTGGTTCAGTCCTGCCAATGTGAAGATTGTGCCACACATTTTAAACTTTATCTAATTTTCGACGTCATTCTCCAACTGTAAAATTAAAAATATGTTATAGACAGGTTTTGTAAGTATTAGGTAGGTTACTAATGCGTTTTTACGTACAAGCAGATTAATTAAGCATATATACAAGTATATTCGCCGACTTACGTCAAAGTGATCTTCTCAGCATCAAATAATGGTCTTTGGAGAATAATTGTCATTTTTCTTTGCAGCTTGAAACCACTTTTTTTTCAGTTTTGGGTCAGAAGTTCCAGTCAAAAACAATTTATTTGGGAACTTTGTTGAAGTAGATTGGCACAAAACATGAGTCACATGATGTTGATGGATAGTCCATTTTAAATTTTTCAAAAAAATATTTCGAAAGTCGAAAAAATATGCAAAAGTATGAAAATTTAAAGCCAGCAACGAACAAGTACGACCAGTGACAGACAGCAGTGACGTCATCGCAACCATAGGTTCGTTTTCGCGCGAAAATTTAAATTGTCAATTTAAAACCGCATTTTTTCCGATATATCACAATGTTTTAATTTTTTAATATATCTGTGGTTTATTCTACATGGAATTCTTTAAAATGAAAACAAAAATAAAAATATTGCATCTTCCCTATTCGCCAGTTTACCCCCCAAGTCAAGGCGTGCCTAAAGAAGTTTCACTTCAAAAACATTTTAACAGAGCCATATTAATTATATTTTTTTGCGCACACAATAAACATAATGAAGATGGTACGGAGGACATAGGTACATCATGGTGGTATGAACGTACCGTACGTACTTACGACTCTACAAAGCAAGCACTTATTCTTAAGTTACCTATTATCTTCATAACTGAAACATACCTCAACAACAAAAGTTTTATTAGGTAAGATATGGTAGGTTATTGGGTTAGAGCTTTGAGTTGGTATAGATATAGGTAGGTATATATTAAACGTCACCTTCGTAGCGAGCGTTGAATTCGATGTAGTTTACTGGGTGATTTGACGAATAGAGTTGACAATGTACAACGAATAGTGATGGCAATTTAGTGAAATAAATCAATGAGTGAAACGAAACGCATTCTTCTAATGTTGCAGTGAAGCGTTATCGAAAACGGACGGAAAAGGGACGGAATATGTAAAAGGACATCGATGGGACGCTTTGATGAGATAAGGGACGAAAATCGTCCCTTTTGGGACGTTCTGGCATCACTGCTCGGCGGTCGACTGCTCGAGAACGCTCGACTATAGCCGACATAGGCCGAGCTAAGCGCGTACGTGAGTTGCTTGAATCGAATGAAGGAAACAAGTTTTGCCCGGCCCGCATGGACACAGTAACCACGTGCCACGCGCAACGGTGTCCGTCCACTCTACACCTTCACAATTGCGAAATGGTCGAATGACTGATACGGTCACACCACACAGACATGATTGCAATAATTAACTTTAATAATTAAAGATTTTAAGGGTTTACTTTTAACATGAAGTAAACAAACATCTTCAGCAACATAAACAAACAGAAGTAGGTGGGTACTTAGTTATTCGTTATCATTAGGGCCCGGATTAATATGTAAATACATATTTTTAATTTACACGATTTTCGGTCTCGTATGTGTTATCTACCTAGATTATCATATCGCCGCTATACCACGAAAACCAATTAAATGGAAATTTTGACGAAAAAACCTTATGAATGCCAAAGTACTTAAAATTTTGTGTTCTTTCGTCTGCGAAAACCCATTAATCGCTAAGTCTTATAGTTGCGCTTCTAGCTAATTAGATAACCAATTATTTCAAGCATTTCCAAGGTTTGTTTTCAAACAAAAAACATTAAGCAGGTGTGTAAACATAATTTGACTGCCGACATATTTGTCTCCAATGATTGTCAGTTAATCTGATAAAATTTGTTTTTCTTCAGAGAGAGCTCATGAAATACTCTATTTTTTCCTCAGTAACAAACATTTTATAAGATTTAAATCTTCATACTAGATTAAAATGGTCAAATAAAAGCTATTAAAACAGTTTAATTTATTTTACCTGACGAATTCTATATTAAAAATACAACCTAATCGCCTAAGAAAATATTGTAAAACCAGATAATTGTTTTTCTCTGATGATATTTATTCACGGATGCAACCTAATCACTACAGCGAAAAACGAATAAACCAGATTAATTTATTAAACCTGACGAATTCCATATTAAACAATACAATCTAATCGTCTAAGAAAATATTGTATATCCAGGTAATTGTTTTCCCTTGACGATATTTATTTACGGATGCAACATGATCACTACAGCGAAAAACCATTAAAGGGGTTTGGGTAAAAGTGGCTTGATTTTCAAAGTCTGCGGCCACGAATGCTTTATTTCTTAATGAATAGAACTAAAAAAAGTAAAAATAAAATATTAAGGCCATATATCTGTAAAGTACATCGAAGCCAAGATATGATTTTTTTAAAATAGAATAATCATAAATTCATATCATTAAATCTTACGTGCTTTTTTGTATGAATTGTTGTCTAAAACATACCATTTAAGTTAATAACGGTTTATCAGACCCTTTTTTGTCTGGTTTGACCGCCTCAGCCAATCACATCAGTCTTTGGATATTCCACTTAGGTCTCATAGTGTATATCCCTCGGGATCCCCACGGGCAGGGTCATGGGACGGGCGCAGCCAGGGCGCACACTCGTCCTCTCCTGCCCGCTCTTCTTCGTCGGGAGGGAGCGGCCAGGGGATTATGCTCCCGCTCCCTCTCGGCTGCCTCATTCTACGAGAAGACGTTCTTGCTGAAGGAGGCAGCCGCCTGCCATGCCGTCTCGCTACTGAGTATGGCCTCTACCATGCTCCTCAGCGAGAGGGTTCCGCCTCCCAGCGCAGCGATTAGGTCGCAGCGCTGCTGTAGCCAGACTGAGCACTCCAACAAGGTGTGCTCGGTCCTTCCATCCGGGGCGCCGCAGTGATGGCACTGTGGCGTTTCTTCCCGGTGGGCGATACGGTACAGGTAGTAACCGAAGCATCCGTGTCCGGTCAGTATCCGACCGACGCCAGGCGAACCGCCTCCTCTACCAACTTTGCCTTCGCCGCCACCAACGTGTCGTCGGCGAAGCAGACAACATCCGTGCTGGGAAGAAGGCTGCCTCACAACACCCAGTCGTACCCCAGGTTCCAGAGCAGTGGACACAGCACTGAACCCTGGGGTACCCCTGCGGCCATGGCCCGAGAGCATACGCTTCCATCGGGCCCCTCGTAGAAGTCTGACCTCCCCTGCAGGTAGTCCTCCACGATGGCTCGCAGGTATGGAGGCACGCAGTGAAAATGTAGTGCCTCCATAATACACTCGTGGGGGAGACTGCTCTCTTCTTCTTCTTTCAACGGGCGTTTCCGCAACTCGACGTCCTTATGGCGCCTGTTTTGCGTTAGGAGGGTGTATAGCCGGAATCACTCCAGCCAGCCCAGCTTCATCAGGAACGCCCCCAGGGCCTTCACATTTGTGACTGCCTCTTGGAGGTTTCCCGGTGACCGAGGTATTTCACCCGGTATTCGGCCACTCCGTTGCATTCCAGCAGAACGTGAGTAGCTGTTACTTCTGCCTCCATGCGTCCTCTGCATAGAGGGTTGTCCGTGACACCTAAGTTAAAAAGATGTCTGTTAAAATGTGCATGTCCGGTAATAGCACCTGTTACCATGCGCAATGTAGGTTTGCTTAGCTGTAGAAGAGTTTTGGAGAGGACAGCGTTCAGCCGCGGCAAAGCGAGCTTGGTCTGCCTGCACGTCTTCAGATCGAGCCAGTGTTGCTCCTGTAGTGAGGCTGTGTGCACGCAGATTTTATTTACGAGACAGCTTACTGGTATCGGGACGATTGGTTCGGGACCTGTTGGGGTCGAATCGGACCCCTTCCGGGCTAGCTCATCCGCAGCGTCGTTTCTGCGTGATCCACTGTGTCCCTTTATCTTTTGGATAGTAATAGAATTGCTTTACCGTACCGTGTTTAGGGTTTGGTGGCATTCTTGCAGGAGGCTCGATTTGACTAAACAGGCATCTAAAGCTTGTAGGACTGATTTACTTTCGGACAGTATTCGTATTTCCTGTTCTGTTGCCTTTCTTGAAAAGATCGCTCTTGCCGCCAGTATGATGCCCATACATTCAGCTTGAAAAACTGTGTTGTACGGGCTTAAGGGGAAAGCGATATGTATATTGAGGTCCTCAGAGAAAACACCCGCGCCCGTGCCCGATGAGGTTTTAGAGCTGTCGGTATAGATCATGAGAGCCTTGTATGATAGCTTGGGATCGTTGTCATCCAGTAGATGTATACTGTACTTTTTGTCAAATATGAAGGCAGGTATTATTTTGGGGGTAAGACTGTTAAAGGCGTTACGGATGTCTAGCTACACCGCAATAGCAGTCTCTCCCCGACGAGTGGCGCCTCGGTCCACCCCTTCAAAAGGGCCACCACCTCCACCGTGGACCGGTTTCGCCGGAACCCGAACTGGTGCTCTGCCAGATATGGGTCCGGCTCCCTCAGGTGCACGATGATACGCCCCGCCAGAATTCTTTCAAAGAACTTCCCAGCGTCATCGAGCACCAATTCTACCGCGGCCCAGGTAGGTACTCTAGGTACTCTAGATCAAGTTTTTGATCTGTTTCTTTTTTTTCATTAATGTTAGCTTTAAGAAAACGTTATCACAATACTAAACATGTATAATAATCTCAGGAGATAATTTAATGAGCTTTTATATCATATGACTTTTGTTAGAATTCAAGATCAAATATCTTGGTTCCGATATTAGTTATGGAAATACTATTTTGCTAAGAACAATTCACATATATAGTACTATCAAACAATCATAATAAGTTCAGTGGCCGCTGAAAAAAAAATCAAGCCAACCTCCATACAAAATTACCCAATCCCCTTTATTATCTTTGTAGAGTTCCAATAGTTTATCAGAAAAATATTCACTGATTTCTGATCATTCAGAAATCACGGACGTTGCCGCTTCGTCTACAGTCCTTTTCTTTTTATTTCTTGTTTCGTAATTATGTTCTCTTTGTTGTTCAGAATCTAAGTTTTCATTGGCTTTACTTTCTTTTCTTTAATTGTTTTGTAACATCGTAATTATAGAATATTTTGTATTCTCCTTTAATATATCTCAGTCGCATAATCTTTAACCACTGAACTTGCTTTCCTTCCGTATCTTTATTTTGTATTTAACAAAATTTTGTCAGACAGATCTTTTAAATCCTCAAAAGTAGACTATATTAAAGGAGAACACTAAATATTCTATAATAACGATATGTCGGAGATTTTTCTACAATTGATGTTACTAAAAAAAATGAAAGAAAAGAAAGTAAAGCCAATGAAAACTTAGATTCTGAACAACAAAGAGAACATAATTACGAAACAAGAAATAAAAAGAAAAGGACTGTAGACGAAGAGGCAAAGTCAGACAGAAATCAGTGAATATTTTCCTGATAAACTATTGGAACTCTACAAAAAACCTTTATCTATAAGTGCAGCAAAAAAAAAAGATTTGCTGCAATTATGCAGCAAAGGTGTCATCCCAGAGGAGTACCATCCCTGGTTCAACAATTTGAATAGCGATGTTGTTTGTAAAGACAGGGTACCTGACTGCACAGTCTCTGATGATGAATCTACAATATTTTCGGATGATGACTAACAACAACTCAATTAAAATAGTTATTTGTTTCAAGTACCTTACCTAGGTATTTTATTTTTACTGCCTTAATTACTTTACTTTAATTTTCATTATAATTTTAATGACATATTTTAAGTTTTACCTAACTAAAAGATGAAAATGCTTAGTCGTAAACAAATGAGATAATTTTGTTTAGAATTTAAGTGTATCGAAATAAAAAAAAAATGTTTAATTAGAAAATAAAACAATTCGATTATGATTATTATTTCAATTACCTACCGATACCTAAAATATGAAAATGCTTAATGTAGTTATAAACACAGAAGATATTTTATTAGAATTTGGAGGTGACTGCGACTTTGCTGATTTTAATAATTCCCAAAAAAAAATTTCCCTTCCGGATTTTTTTCCTAAGCAGGATTCTCAAATGTTTCAAAGGTACATTTAAGTAAAATTTTAGACGTGTAACTCAATAATATTGGCCTTGCTTTGGTATGTCAGTCAGTCGGTCGGTTACTCAATAATAAATCAGTTTTTCCTTTATTTACTGAATTTTTTGGCACCTATTACTGGCATTTGAAGCGCGCTTTTATTGTTATTTGAACTAATCAACCTACTTTGCACTTAATGAATTATTTCGAGTTATACATTTGATAACAAATGAACGTACTGAATCTCTAATTAATTACTTGATTAACTTTTTAGGTTCTTAAAATTTCTGCAGGGAAAACCAATTATCTTGATATATTTTCACTTGTAACTTCATGAGGGACAGCTGTATAGGTATTTTTTTATCATGGTTAGTCTTAATTAACTAAAATTAAAAAACAATTTGTCGGGATTTGCTGTTTTCCTATTACTTTAAAATATATAGACATTTATCAGTTCTCCGGGAAAACCAAT